GGTCTCGTCCTCCTCGTCGGAGCCTGAAAGCTCGCTCTCTCCACCGGACTCTATAGGTTTCTTCTTAGACCTAGAAGAAGATTCCCCCTTTTTGTTCCCTCCTTGGATGAGACCGACGAGTTTTGTGAGTGTCGACCCTATCGTCTCGATCTGCTTCTCTAATGCATCAATCCTTGCTGAATTATCTCCTTCAGCCATCTTCTCCTTCCTTAAATCCTGGACTCTTTCCAATGAAATAAGTATCTCCCCAAGCTTCTTGTATGAGGACCGAGTAAGGACCTTACACCGGATGCCCCTTCACCGGATCTGATGCTCTAATACCAACTTGATACGAGTCGCCATGCGAGCACCCTTTGGTCGCGGAATTACCAAAATGTGGGTTGAGAAGAGGATGACCAAACCACAAGAACAATTCAGTATGGCGAAGAAAAATACCTTCTCTAGATTATGAGTATGAAAAAGATTACAATCCCTCTCTCACAATCTCACTAGAATTGTAAAACCCTAATACAATTATTAGAATTTCTCTTGATCACTTCTCTCTGAGATCTGATTGTTTAGAACCCTAAAACAATCTTATTTATAGATGTGCAAACATGGATGGCAATCTTGTAAATAAACAAGCCCAAAAGAATAGGGAATCCCCATCAAAACAGAATCCAAAACGAAACAGGAAACCCAGAAATCGCGATCCGATCGACCGCCAGGCTTGGTCCGGTCGACCGGCCAGAGAGTTTTCTCAAACCCTGCATCGTGCAGGTTTTCCAGTCGACCGACATGTGTGTTGCGGTCGACCGGCCAGAGATCTGCCAGTTACCCTATTATTTTGGATGTTTCGCTTCTGCTGACTTCTTCCACCGCTTTCTTTGGCTCCATCCATGCTCCTATTCCCAAGATATGAGAATCTCCTATCCTCAAGCTCCCATGAGGATCGCTAAGCTCCTAAAGAGAAGATACACCCGTATCACATTCCTCCAGAGCTTCATTACCCTTATTATACAAGATGCAGTCGTTAGGACAGGCGTCTATCTTCTTGTAATCAAGCCCCAGCGTATCAACAATCTTGTGGGCTTCGTAATAGGTCGCTGGGATGCTTTTCTCGCGGCTTGGAATGACTTTCCTCAATAAATCTAATAACATCTCGAAATGTGTAACAGTCATCCCACTGAGTGTTTGGATATGAAGAAGCCTCAGCATAAAAGAAAGCCTTGTGAACTCCTTACACCCCTCGTATAATGATGACTCGTCTTCTTCAACAAGTCTCATCAATCGATCTACATCTTGAAACATATCATTAGTGTTGACATCACTCACCGACGGCGCTGCAAGAATATCTTCTAACATATCAGTCGTGTCAACTATCGGATTGCCGACGTCAGTGAACTCTTCCTCTGATTGCATCACCGGGACGCCTTCACCGTGATGACTCCAAAATACATAAGAGCTATCAAATCCATTGATTGACAGATGAAAACTTATGTCACTCCTAGCGAGCATTTTACCGTTCCTGCAATTCTTACAAGGACAGAAAATCGCCCCGCTCGGTGACCGTAGAGGATTTGTGTCAGAGTAGGCTAAGAAAGCTTTTATCCCTTCCTTCTATCAGGTGTCTTTATGCCTTCGATCACGTGGTATGCTCATGAACGATTTTTCAGGAACTGCCCGCATCTAGAATTTAAAAATTAATGGAAGTGAGCATATCCCTACATATATCATTTTAATTTAGGGATGTAAACATGTGTTCAGAGGACCGCATGTGTGACCGACTGTCAGAGGAAGGCTTCTATCCCATTAGGTATGTAAACGTGACGTGTATATGTATTTTCGTGTGTTCAAGTGTACTTTTAATTCATCAAAATTTCGGCAACACCTACCCGCTATTCTCCGAGTACACTATAGTGGGAAGGATATACTCCTGCATATCCCTCCGCAATTTGTACACAAAGAACAACGATTAAGCACCGCCGAAACTCTAACGAAAAGAAAGTACACAAGACAAGTAAATACATATACACGCCATGTTTACATACCTAACCCGTCCAAACTGGACATATCCAATAAATATTTATAAATAAGCCCTCAGTCACATACACGTACAAAAAGGTTGTCAGATCGAACAAGATGGTCTCGTATCCGCCAATGATCCTGTACGCGTATGTGACAAGTAAATAAAGAGATTATATATAGTATTTATTGGACGAGGAATTCTACGGCTTGAAAATATGAGTGTACAATGTGTGTAGTTTCTATGTAATTAGCGATATAATAGTTACGCTAACCCCTCATCCTCACCCTCACCCCCACCCTCACCCTCACCTAACCCTAACCCTAACCCTCAACCTCAACCTCATCTTCACCCCCACCCTCACCCTTACCTAACCCTAACCCTCACCCTCACCTTCACCCTCGCCTAACCCTAACCCTAACCCAAACCCTAACCTTAACCCTTATACTCACCCTGACCCTCACCCCCTACCCTCACCCTTACCATACCTAACCCTAACCCTCACCTAACCCTAATCCTAACCCTAACCATCGCCTAACCCTAATCCTAACTTAAACCCTCACCTAACCCTAACCCTAACCCTCACACTCACCTTCACCCTCCCCTAACCTTAACCCTCAACCTCACTCTCACCCTCACCCCTCACCCTCACCTAAACCTAAACCTCACCCACACCTTCACCCTCCCCTAACCCTAACCCTAACCTTAACCCTCAACCTCACCCTCACCTAACCCTAACCCTAACCCTAACCATCACTTAACCCTAATCCTAACCCTCGCCTAACCCTAACCCTCACCTAACCCTAATCCTAACCCTAACCCACGCCTAACCCTAATCCTAACCCAAACCCTAACCCTAACCCTAACCCTCACTCTCACCATCACCCCCACCCTCACCTAACCCTAATCCTAACACTAACCCTCGCCTAACCCTAATCCTAACCCAAACCCTAACCCTAACCCTAATCCTAACTCTAACCCTAACCCTCACCGAACCCTAACCCTAACTCAAACCCTCGCTTAACCCTAACCCTAACCATAACCCGTATTAAATTTATTTTTTATATTATAATTTCATCAAGATGAACATTTTTTATTAGGGTTTGGGTTTTTGGCATAATTATTTTGTTTTGCCAAAATTAAACTCTAATTGTAAAAATTAAACTATAATTGCAAAAGTTAAGAAACCTCTCTTTCTCTCCCCCTCCCCCCTCAGAGAGGAGATCGCCAGGGGGAAATTGAAAACAGGGGGAAATTGATGAGTTGT